TAAAATGATGATTCCAAAATCATCTCAGGAGAGGTTCCTTTTTTTAATTTATTTTTTGTAGTTGAAGTTGGACACAATAATTTTATTTTATTTATATATTTATATGTGGTGCTAAGGATTGAACCCAGGGCCTTACACATGCGAGGCGAGCACTCTACCGCTGAGCCATAACCCCAGTCTCAGGAGAGGTTCCTTTTAAAATTTCAAGAATAAAGTTTGTCTTCGTTGTTCTAAATATATATATATATATATATATATATATATAACATATTTAATTATATTATATATTAAATATATGTATTTAAGTTATATATGAAATTTTTTTTCTTTTTGGTTAGCTGAACACCAAGAGAATAAACATCATTTTATTGCTTAAGTGGTACTTTTGTTTTTAGAAGTAGAATTCAGCTTTATTATTCTTTTTTTCCATTTTAATTTGTTACATATGACATTAGAATGCATTACAATTCATATTACACATATGGAGCATGCCCACATAGTAAGACTTTTAAGTCACTAAATGCATGAAGAGCCTCCCTCATATAGACTAACACAGGCATCCAAATACTCAAAGGTACTTCAAAATTTAACATAGCTGGTTACACCTTTCAGGCTTCTGAAGTTGTTTGACTTCATTTACAAAGTAATGATGCACTTATCAAAGCTACTCTCTTTATAAACAAGGCAACAATAATTATAACCATCACTGCCACTATCACTCCTGCTACCAACCACCACCTTTTCTAAAAAGCTTCTATTTTTGGTTTTATTCTAAAACGTTTTTGCATTTGAACACCAAATTCTCCATTTCATATTCACAAGAGCCCCACAGAGTCAGTGTGTTGTCTATTGTCTATATTTTACAATATAAGGGACTCTCTATCAATCACCTGCCAGGTCCAGTGCTGGGTGCTTTACATGTATAATACCCAATCCTCATGGATCTCTGTAAAAGAAGTATGATTACTTCCATCCTACAGGTGAAGAAGCCAAGGCTTACCTAGGTTAAAAAAAAAAAATTCAAATGGCAGACACTGGGCTGGGGGTGGAGGTCAGTGGTAAATGGCTTACCTCCTTTGCCTGTCATGCAAGAACCTGGGTTCAATCCCCACTAAGACAAAACAAAACAACAAACACACACACACACACACAAATAACATTTAGACGTCACAGAGCATGAAACTGAAGGTAAAGCAATAAAATAACTCCTCCAGATCATGGCTAGTGATAAAGCTAAATCAAAATTTCTCATTTATCAGTGGTGAAATAAAATAAACCTAAAATTATAACTGTTGCCTTTGGCATATGAGAAATAACTCAGTATTAATCAGTTTAACATTAGATAAAACAAAAACAGACTTATCTAACTGAGCTCAGTGGCACAGGCCTGTAATCCCAGCTACTCAGGACACTGAGGCAAGAGGATTGCAAGTTCAAGGCCAGTCTTGGCAAATTAGTGAGACTATCTCAAAATAAAATGTAAAAGAAAGGGCTGGAGATGTAGCTGAGAAGCAGAATTCTCCTGAGTTCAATCACCAGTGTACCAAAACAAAAAAGACTTAGTTAAGTCCTCCCCCTCAACCCCCAGTGTTTGGGAGATAAACCAGGGCCTTCCTATGTTAGGAAAGTGCTTCATCACGGAGTCACACCTCCAGCCCTGAGAGCTCATTTCTAATCAAAATAACACAGGGTACACAGGGTGCCTTAAATAGAGAAAATACAAAAGAAGCAACATTTCAACATGTTGCAAAAAAGAAATACATATGCTGGAGGGTTTTGGGGGGTTTTCCCCGCTATACAGCTTTCCCTCTACATTTATGGATTCAACCAATCATGGATAGGAAATATTTGGAAAAAAAAATCATGAGTTAAACAAACCTCTTTTTATTAATTTAAAACAACTGTTTGTTTGTTTGAATATGTATAGACCTTTTTCCTTGTCATTATTCCCTAAATAATAGAGCATAACAACAATTTACATTGTATTGGGTACTATAAGTTATCTAGAAATGATTTAAAGTTACCAGAAAATGTAAGCAGATTATATTGCAATTACTACATCATTTTATATAAGGGACTCAAACATCTTTGGATTCTAGTATCCACTGGGTTCTGGAACAATTCCCCCATAGATTCCAAAGGACAACTATATTGAGTTTTACTTTGTGCCCAGAAATGCAATAAAACTTTAACATTGACTAACATCAAATTCTCCATTTCATATTCACAAGAGCCCCACAGAGTCAGTGTGTTGTCTATTGTCTTTATTTTACAAATACAGAGACCAATATTCAGAGAGGAAAAGTGACTTGCCTAAGTCACACAGCCAGGACATGAATCCATTTTTGTTTTACCTAAAAATTTGCAATAGAAATCATATACGCTCAGCAAATAATTGTGGCCACCTGGCTGTCCCCTCCTCAAATAGAGAAAAAGGTCACAGTGAGTGCTGCATATTCCATCTGGATCTACAAGTCCTGGACAGATGAATGAACAGGGTTCAAGAAGGCCACACTGGCCAAAGATTGAGCAAAAACCTAAGTGAGCTGTAACCACTCTCTTCAGATTATAACCAGGTACACTTTCTCAGAAGTACTAGATATCTGTAAAGGTGATATAATTAGAAAACCCCCAAAGACAGACCAGTATGTTTAGTTTTTAGAACACTTATTAGTGCAAAATTCATCATAGTTTTGAAGGAAAGAATGAAGTGATTCAAGACTGAACCAAAATACATACAAGAAATCAAGAAGAGAAGCAAAAGTTTCTATTTTTGGTTTTACTCTAAAACGTTTTTGCATTTGAATAAATTATCTAGAGCTGTGTATTATTACATTTTGATAGATAGGAAATGATGAGATTAGGTCAGGTAAGAGAAACTGCCATGAAAGTCTTTAAAATATTTACTGATGTAATAGGAAAAGTACTTCAAGCTTGAGTACCACATTATTAAGTTGCATATTTTGTTAGAAATTTCAATCCATAACAAGGCACAGTAAGCATTTGAATAGATAAAAGTGTGTTTAGTACAAATGATTGTCACTGTGTATGATTTCATATGAGAAAATATCAAGTGTCTTCTCTCTTAGCACCCCTCCCCCATTCAGATGGCCCTGAGCCACTGGTGGTTCTTCCCAAGTATGGACCTCCTGTGAGTGTTGGTGATGCACACAGTGCAGCCTCTGCCTGGGACTCCTTGCTCCTCCCCTTTTCCAGTTAAGCCTCTTCACCCAATCTCCCAGGAAACCTCCCTGGAACCCTTCTGCACTGTCATCTGGCATAGCATTTAGCCACTGTTTACTTTTTGGTCTCCAAATGAGAGTAAGAATTTTTTGATGACTAAGAATCCTTATTGTCTTCTTTTTCTTCTTTATTTGGTAGTGGGGATTAAACCCAAGGATACTTTGCCACTGAGCTACAACCCTAACCTTTTTTATTTTTATTTTTTGTTTTGAAACAGGGCCCCCCTAAATTGCTGAGGGTCTCACAAAATTGTCCAGGCTGGCCTGGAACTTGCAATGCTTCTGTCTCAAGCTGGTCACTGGGATTACAGGTGAGCACCACGGGTGCCGGGATGTTTGTTTGCTTGTTTGTTAAGAGATCAGGGTCTGGCTATTTTGCCCAGGCTGGCCTTAAACTTCTGTCTTCCTGCCTCAGCTTTCCAAGTAGCTGGGTTTGGGGTTTTGTTCTTTTGTTGTTGTTGTTGTTTTGTTTTGTTTTGTTTGTTTTGTTTTTTTACAGACCGGTGCCACCTAGTTTTTTTTTTTTTTTTTAATATCCCACCATTTAGCTAAGATTCTCAATAAAAATTTTATTAAATGAATGAAAACAGACTGCACAATTAATACTTTTTAAGGAATAAAAGAAAAACATGTCTAAAATGCCCATCTTGTGCAAGCAAATTTATTCTCACCCTCATTGTTCTTAACATGTATTTTTAAACACCTACAGGGTTCACTGGGTATGGCTAAACATCCAGCACTAAAAATATTTTATACCTCCTGAGTTGAGGATTTATGTAGCTCATTGGTAGAGCACTTGCCTAGTATGCTTGAGACTCCACTTGGGTTTGATTTTCAGCAGCACAACAACAACAAAAAAGAAATGTACACCTGGGGCTGGGGTTGTGGCTCAGTGTTAGAGCACTTGACTGGCATGTGTGAGGCACTGGGTTCCAAACTCAGCATTACATAAATTAATTAATTAATGAAAGGTATTGTGTCCATCTACAATGAAAAATATATTTTTTTATAAAAATAAGAAGAAATGTATACCTCCAAGGCATGAAAATAATTGAATATTTTCAACCAAACCATCAATTCTGGTACAACTGGCAAGTTATACATATAGAATAAAACTACCAGAAAATCAATGTAATAATTAAAAAGCACAATAGTAATTACACTTAGAATAATTAGATGCCCCCTAGTTTTGTCAGGGACTCTAATGGGGACCAGTCATTTACCCTTCAATCTCAGTTTCTTCATCTACAAAAAACGGATAACTATCCCTGTCACTTCCTTCTTTATTCAGATCTTGTGAGGATAATGGAAGCATAATATCTCTAGAATGTAAATCTTTACAATAAAGGTATGATTATTAAAAAATATATATATATGACCTAATCCCCGCGGTAGGATTCCTAGCATCATTCATTGTGGTCATAACCCTTCACTACCCGCCCCCTTTCTCCCTAGCAGGTTGATAATGTACACTTTTGCATAAGATCTTGGCCAGTCTAAATAAAGACCACATGGGTGGGCACAAGTTCTTCTCTCCGGTGCTTGGTCTGATCTACAAGCTGCCGGGGAACAGATCCCTGGCAGCAGTCAGGATTGCGCTGCCCGGACCCGTTTACACTTCTGGAGGGTGAAGCCGACCCCGGGCTTCCTCATGTTCTGAGCCGGGTAGTAGAAACTGGCGGTGAAGAGAACCCAAGAGTACAGCAGGACAAGGTGAGAGAAGGAGATGAGACTGGAGGACTTCAGCGAGGAACTTACCTGGCCTCGCCGATCGGCGCCGGAGGCGGGTGCGGAACAAACACTCCACAGTCAGACCGAGGAGGCTGCTGCTTCTTTTTGGAGCGCCAGATGTGGAAAGTGGCGTGCTTCTTGGGGGCCTTGGACGGGCTGGACTCCCTGGGATCTCCTTGAGGTGGTAGCGACAGTGGCATCTTCTCGTCAGCCTGCTCTCCCGACTGCTCGGACACTGTCCTCTCCCCCGCGCAGCCCTTGTGGAAGAATATACCTTGGGCGCCAGCTCTCCCGCCTTTCCCAGAGCACCGTCGGACCCCGCCCCCTCGGTAGAAGGTTAAAGGCAGAGGGCAGGGCGAGCAGCGCAGCAGCGGGAGCTCTCCGGGTGGAGGTGACTGCACGACAGTGACACAACTTCCCGATGCGGCGCTGGCCGCGAGGGGCGCGAGCCCAGGTGAGGCGCGCGGAGGGAACCCCAGGTAGAGCCAACACCCCCCACGGTCCCCGACCGCAGAGCAGCGACACCTACTGGACATCTTGGGAACCGCGTCTCATGCCGCGGCTCCCCGCTGAGAGCCAGCACCCAGTTGGGTTTCAATAAAGCCTCAGGTGCAGTTCCCAATTATCGCCCGCGGAGTTGTTGTCTGCTCCTGCCCAAGCCAGGCTGGCAGAGTGAGTGACAGCTTAGCCATGAGCCCGACCTGGAGAAGGATGGGAGAGGCACAACCGGTGCTGGACCGCCCAACAATTAGTGCTCTTCCGCTCAGGCCTTTGGGTGGCGTGGGCAGTATGTCCTGGGTGTTCAGGTTTGTAAACAAGAGTACCAGCTCCTTTTCTCTCTCCTTCAGAGTCTGAATCATTAATTTGTACTCTCGTCTCATAAAGCACTAAAGGATAAAATCCAGAAAGACATTAACCGTGTTCTCCAGTTCCCAGAGGACTCAATAGATCCCTCGCAGTGAATGAAATGTCAGTCCCACAAGGTACCTGTCACCTGCTTCACTATCAATGACTTTCTTTTCTCAGTTTTACAATTCTGATTAAATAGCAAACGCAACTAATACCCAATCAAAGGAAGTACACGAACAAATTATTTGTGGCATCGTTACAATCTAAAGAGCTCAAGGACCACCTCTTAAAAATTCAATGCAGTACAAGTCCCTCCATACAGTAATAGCTTCTTTCTTTTTCTCTTTGAATATCCAGCCTGTTCAATTCTTTCACTTATTCCTTAAAAGAATTCATTTCTGTTTATTTTATGTACATTCTTTTTATCAAGATAAACCTGTATATAGTAAAACAGGCACAAATTATAAGTACACAATTCAAATTTTTGAATATTTATTTGGTTGGGTGGCAAAATGTTTTCAATGATGGATAGCTGACATTGTCCTACAAAATCTTTCTGTATATGGCTTTTATAACATGGTAAAAAAATATAGATTATCTTCAAAACTTCAGAAATCTCTTGCCTACCCACTTCCAGCACCCTCCCCTCCCCTCCTGTACCAATTAGCCATTACTCCAACCTCTTAATTTGGCTCTCCTGGAACTTTATTTCAATGGAATCACAATATGCATTCCTCTATGTTTGGTTTCTTTTGCTCAGTATTAGTCTGTGAAAATCATCCATATTGGTGCTTATAGCAGCTTTTTATTTTTAAAAAAATTATTGCATAGTATTTCATGATATAAAAATGCCACAATTCATTTATCTGTTCTACTGTGGATGAACATTTATTGTTTTCTTATTGAAACTATTATAAATAAAGCTGACAGGATTCTTAGACATAAGCATTCATTTCTTTGTGGGGAGGGTGTGTGTGTGTGTGTGTGTGTGTGTGTGTCCTCATCCAGGAGTTCAATCTTTGGCATAAATTCAGTTCTAGTGAATTTTTTCAACCAGTTTTCCAGAATGGCTTTTTGACACTTTATATGCATTCTACTAAAGTTTCCAGTTTTTTTACATCTTTATCATCAAGATGTGATATTCTCAATCTTTTGGGGACATTTTAATGAGAATGTGGTGGTATCTCATTGTTTTTTAAATTTACATTTGCTCAAGAAGCATTAATTGAATTCATTGAGTACTATATGTGCCAGGCCCTGGCTTGGAGAGGGGGCACCAATGGATACATACATAGGTGATACACACCAAAGGGTAGGAGAGTCAGTAGAGGAATATACAAGGCATTATGGCTGCCTTGGGAAGGAGGAAGGGAAGTGGTCAGTAATGATGTATTACAAAGGTAGCTGAACCTTTGAGGGCAAAGAGAACTGCAAGAAAAGAGTCAGAGAAGGGGAAAAGTAAATAGAGAAAAAAAAGGGGGGGTGAAATAGAAGAAATCTTAGGCACCCTTGCTCAAATATTCGCACATTCAGTAATTTAGTCTTTCATTTTTGAGTCTTCCAAGCAGAATTCCTCTGCTCCTTTTTTGTGCCACAAATGATTCAGGTACATATATCTGTTATTACACTGTTGACATTGCATTGAAATTATTTGTTTTCATATCTGTATCTCCTATTAGCCTAACAGAAATTTAAGTATGCAAAAAATAGACTCATTCAGACTTCTTTAAGCAGTAACTTATTTTTTTTTCTTTTTGATACTGGGGATTGAACCCAGGATCCCTTTACCACTGAGCTACATCTAAGTCCTGTTTTTTTTTTTTAAGATGTTGATGGAGCTTTATTTTATTTATTTATTTTTATATAATGCTAAGAATCTACCCAGTGCCTCACACATGCTAGGCAAGTGCTCTACCGCTGAGCCACAACCCCAGCCTCTCCTCAGTCCTTCATACATATGTATGTATGTATGTGTGTGTGTGTGTGTATATATATATATATATATTTTTTTTTTTTTTTGAGACAGGGTCTTACTAAGTTGCTTAGGGTCTTGCTAAGTTGCTGAGGCTGACCTTGAACTTGCTATCCTGCCTCAACCTTCCAAGTCTCAGATTGCAGGTGTGAACCACCACACTGACTTAAGCAGTAACTTAATTTATCAAGGGATTTTAGGTGGTTCATAAATATCTGAGAGAGCCAAAGATTCAGACTCTGGAATTCAAATATTTCCAGCCACCCCAAAAGCTGATTTGGCAAATATTAATCTCATCATCTCTCAACACTAGGAACCACTTATCAGCAGCTCTGCCAGTGGCTACCCCAAGAATCAAAGGCTTGTCCAACCTGATCTTGTTAGAAAGTTAGCCTCCTGCCTCAACCCCTGGCACACAAATTGCTCATTTCTGGGGGGAAAAAAAGTCATATATGACTTTTATGTAGTCATATCTGATTAGAAGAACCTTGGTCATTTAACTGCTTCTTAGCTACAAGAGAAATCTAGGTCTTCTGGGTTCTGCCTCAGAGAAATGAAATTCAAAGGGCTAAAAATTTGCCAACATACCACAGGTATTCAAAAGAGGCTATATAGCCTGAAGTGTGAACAATGGCCACTGCTGGAGGAAAGGATGAGGGGGAATGGGAACACAGAGGTGACTAACTCTATCTCAATGGTTCAGGGAAGTCATCACCAGGGAGGTGACAGATTTATGAGCCGTAGCTGATGACTAGGAATTTACCAGATGGAGAAGAGAGGGCGGATAGTCTAGGAAGAGTAAACAACATGGGTCAAGGCCCAGAATTGTGAAAGGACAAGAGCAGTTGGTAGGGAATATTCAGAAGCTCAGTGAAGTGGAAGAAAAGAAGTATGAGGTGAGGCAACATGGCAGGAGATGAGACTGGTAAAATCAGGTGGGGCCAGGTTGCTAAGCACTTGGTAAGGCATGCTTTTAGGGAGTTAGGACTTAGCTTTGTAGGCAATAGGGACTGCCATAGTTTGGATCTAAAGTGTCCCCCAGAGGTCCAGGTGATAAAGACTTGGTCCCGAGTGTAGTACTGTTGGGAAGAGGTGAAACCTTTAAAGGCCGGCCTAAGGGGAAGTCTTCAGGTCTTTGGGAATGTGCCCTTGAAAGGAAAACTGGGACCCCAGCCCTTCCTCCTCTTCCTCTTCCTGTCTATCCTTCTCTCTTGCTTCCTGGCCAGGAGGTGAGTAGTTCTGCTCTGCCACTATGAAGTGATGCCATACCAAAGACCCAGAAATGATGGGGCCAACTGACCATGAACCAGAACCTCCAAAACTGTGAGCCAGAACAAGCCTTTTCCCTTTATAAGCCTCAGGTGTGTTATAATGATGGAAAGTTGACTCACACAGGAACCCTGCTTACATTTTTAAGAACTGACATGAACAATATGTTTTATAAAGCACCCTGGATGGAGTGAATTTGGCAGAAATCCTGTGGAGACCTAACATTTAAGGGACTTTTAGGCAAGAGAGAACCTACATACAGAGCAGCTGAAGAGGTAGGAAGATATCTGAGGTAAAATATAGCTCTTTGGCCCAGGTCATGGCCAAGATTTGCTCCTGTGAGGTCTACTATCTTATAATATCTTTTTGGTTCCTTTCCCTCTATCCATCAATCTGAGGTCCATTTCAGGTCTTTCCTTGTCCTCCAAGTGGCCAACCAGCCCCTTCTTACACTATTTTTTCTTTATCTAACTTTCTATTATGTTTTTATCTTGAATTTAAGCTGACATTGTGATAGATGTAAAAATACCCACAATTCTCTACTTTTCCCACAAAGAAGCAGAGCCTATATTTTTTCAGTCATTGAATCTGGGTTGGTCCTAAGACTAACTTTGGCAAATGAAACATTAGCAAAAGTAATGCCAATAGAACTTGAAAGGTGTTTGCACATTGAGCTTACTTTCCTTTTCTAGGAATCTTGCTATGTTCCTTGAGTATCCAGCTGGATGATAAGAGATGCATGGCCAATTTACCTCATCACCCCTGGCCAATGACAAACAGCTATTTGAAATAAGAGTGAGGCCATTTGGGACAGTCCAGCCCTCAGCTAAGCCACAAATGAGTCCAGGCACCTAAAAAGGACAATTTGGGATCATCTAAGGTTGTCTCAGACCAGAACATCCCAATAGAATCTTGAACTAATTAAATGCTGTTATTTAAAGGCACTGGGTTTTGCCTGTTTGTTTGTTTAAAAATATTTATTAAAAAGAATAGCAATGGTCAAGTATAATCAATGAAAGCTAACAAAATTTTGAACACTTTTTGTTTCTTTTTTATTTATTTAACTTTTAGTTGTAGATGGACACAATACCTTTACATTGTTTATTAGTGTTTATTTGGTGCTGGACATCGAACTCAGTTCCTCACATGTGCTAGGCAAGTGCTCTACCACTGAGCCACAAACCCAGCCCAGACCTTCTATTTCTTAACCTCTGAAATATTCAATGAATGGAGGCAATGGAAAAATCATGAACTACAACATAAAGATTCAATTATAT